TGATAGGGGGGGGGGGAACACTGGTTAAAGTATAACTTTGTATTTAAATTTCAGATGCCTGACAAAAAAACATTGAATTATTTGGAAATGTATATTGCCTATTAAGAAAATACGTATCTCTAAAGAATATACATATGTACAATCACACATATGACGGTGTAAATCGGATGTAACAGTTTTTACAACAAAAATAATGTGTGTATTATCCTCCTACCACACCGACCCTCTGTTATCTTTTGTTTTCCCAGTAGCTGTCACTATTTATGTCTAGTTCAGCGGAACGATTTGTTAAACATGAACGCTTGATCACACAATCAATGAGCAACGCTACAAGAGTGAACATAGTTCAGTCAAAATACAAAACAAACATGTGTTCATTTCAATAACCAACGCAACAAGAGTGAACATAGTTCAGTCAAAGCACAATATATATATATATATATATATATATATATATAATTATCCTCTGCGAGCCGTTAGAAAACAAGCTGCAAGCGCCTCCTTACAGTCACCTCTCTTTCTCTCTATCACTATCACTACCACCCCCACCCCACCCCCACATTGTCTGGTGAGCTGTGGTCACGTTAATGTTTACAAACCGTACGGCCAGGTTTAGTGACGGCTATTAGGGGCAGATAATTAAGTTTGAACCGACTTTAAACTTACAGGAGGTAACTAAGAGGAGGCTGTTTTCACGGGGGGGGGGGGTGTAGGGTCGGGGTTAAGGGAAAGGAGGGGGGTTAGTGTTTTAAAGCAAATATTTTCAGTGGCAGCATTGGTACTGTCGAATTCACAAATTATGGATTACTGAAAGTAGAAAATAAATCAACTAAATAGCGGCGTATGATACGCCGCGGGTCGACTCGTACAAACAATTTGTGTTCAGTTGAGTCAGAGTAGACAAGAATTGTTGAGACATAACAAGACATCAACATGTGGGATAATAAATACAACGATCGTACGCCGCTATTTAGTTGTTTTATTGTCTACTTTTCGATAATTCATAATTTGTGAATTCGGCAGTACCAATGCTGCCACTGAAAATATTTGCTTTAAAACACTATCAGTAGGTTAAGGACGGTAACCCCCACCCTCCTTTCCCCGACCCCTACGATACACCCCCCCCCCTGTGAAAGCAGCCTTTTCTTAGTTACCTCCCCTAAGTTTAAAATCGTTTTAAACTAAATTATCTGCCCCTAATAGCCGTCACTAAACCCGGCTCTACGATTGTAAACATTTAGCGTGGTGGTGGTAGGGATATGCTTAGAGAGGAAGAGATGGGGCTGCTAGGCGCACTTGCACTTGTGTTTTGCAAGGTCCCCAAGAAGAGAATTATATATATACGAGCCGGCCCGCGGCATAACATACGCCGCTATTTAGTTGTTTTTTTTTTTTCTACTTTTTCAGTAATTCATAATTTGTGAATTCGACGTTACCAACGCTGCCACTGGAAATATTTCTTTAAAACACTATAAGTAGCACGTTAAGGACCATAACCCCCCCCTTTCCGTCCCCCCTCTTCCCCCCCCCCTATGTTTAAAATCGTTTCAAACTAAATTATCTGCCCCTAATAGTCGTCACTAAACACGGCTCTGCTTGTAAACATTTAGAGTGAACACAGCTCACTAAGACCATGTAGGGGTGGGGGTGGTAGGGAGCGCGTTTACAGCTTGTTTTCTTGCGTCTCCCAGAAGAGAATTATATATTTAGATATAGAAGATAGCTGTGATTTAAACACACACGTCCCGTCAGTACTTACTCCTGTTAGCCTATGATCAGCCGTAGTACTATATTAGCATTACTATCAGTCTACACTCACGATAGATTCGTTATGGTTATTGGTTTGTATTTTAAGCAATTTCTGTACAAACCAACAACAGTATAACAAATGATTCTTCACTATCTAGACTTACACTATACTGTTAGGCCATCCTGTTCACTATTTGGCCACCCTGTTCACTGTCTGGCCAATTACTTCACTGTCTGGCCACCCTTTTCTGGCCACCCACTTCACTATCTGGCCACCCACTTCACTATCTGGCCACCCACTTCACTATCTGGCCACCCACTTCACTATCTGGCCACCCACTTCACTATCTGGCCACCCACTTCACTATCTGGCCAAACATTTCACTATCTGGCCAACCATTTCACTATCTGGCCAACCATTTTACTACCTGGCCACCCACCTACTGCCTAGCCAGTGGCCGCTTACTTCACAGTTTGGCCATCCTATCCGCTGATTGCCATCTGATACAACATACCCCACAAGAAAGCTGCCCCATATGATATAACATACCTCACAAGAAAGCTGCCTAGATCTAACAGTCACCACCCACTGTGTCCAGGACAGGCCTGACGTATTTCACGTTCTCCTGATTGGCAGGTCAGCTGATTGACAGGTCAACTAGCGGCACTAATTGCAGTAAGTCCCCGCTTCTAGTGGCCGTAATAACTGTATGACGTCAGCAGACTGAATCCCTCCCCCTCCCTGAAACTAATCCCGCACGATCTGTGTAACACAAGCGGTCATTAGCCCTGGCTTAACTACCGGCTTCTGTTGTTTTCTTTAGAGCCATTGTATTGAATGTACGTACATGTTAGGTCTACTAGTCGACCAGAGACGAAAGTCAACAATTATACTAATTTTCATCATAACAAACATACAATGCATATGGCAACAAGCAGCTTAGGCACAAGGGCAGTCTGCGACATCAAACTTGCCTAAACACAACCCATACAACAACCAACTTACATAAACAATAAACATAACATAAACACAATCCCGACAACAACCAACTTACACACACACAAGAATACAACAACCAACTTACACACAAACACACACACACAAGAATACAACAACCAACTTACACACAAACACACACACACAAGAATACAACAACCAACTTACACACAAACACACAAAATCCAGACAAGCAAGTTACAGACATAGTTCAGCTGTAGAGATAGAGAACTTCCAGACTAAAACGAAAGCTGACGTCTTACAACGAACCAACATTCCATGTCAATACCCATCCATTCATAACCTCGCCATTCAATAACACGTCAATCCTACCTCCCGCCTACATAGTTCTATTCAAACTATTTCAAGGCTTAACTCTTCCTACCGAATAGTTATCGTATCATCGTTGGGTGCGATTAAAGCCTACCGGTTAATCTATTACCCTACAGTTTAAGATTGAAAAAAAAAAATCCACCATCGGCCAAAGTCAAGGTCACGCGAAATTTGCGCTGTTACTACGGTCCGGTTCACATGTTCAATGGACCGTGTCGTTATCCCGAACTCAGTCAGACTCCCAGCGAATGTTTGGAGCATTGCATTGTAAACCTCTCCCTTATCCCTCCCTCTTCCCATCACTACATTTCACTGTAAACTCCCCCCCCCCCCCCAACCCCTTTCTTCGACCCACCAACCTGCCTAGTCGCTAAGATGAATGGCGTGGCCAGGCTTTGATCCCCATTCTTTTCATCTAGTGTCCGACTGGTAACAAAAGGTAAGCCTCGGGCTAGGGTGGGTGGGGTATGGTGGAGCAGTGAAAACAACAGCTGTAAAATAAAAGCTACTAGCGTAGGTCACCGTGTCGACAATTAAAGCTACTAGCATAATTCAGTGTCAGCCATAAAAGCTACTAGCAAAGTTTACAGTCTCAGTAGAAAGCTACTAGCATAGTTTACCGTGCCAGCAGAAAGCTACTAGCATAGTTCACCGTGCCAGCAGAATGCTACTAGCATAGTTCACCGTGCCAGCAGAATGCTACTAGCGTAGGCCACCGTCTCAGCCTACACCAACAAGCCCCCAACTGAGAATCTGGAATGTACACTTACGATCCGAATGTGTTAACCCAGCACCGTCTTCACGTAGAACTCTGCTGTGATGATCCATACCTTCAGTCAGCTTTAGTCTCTTGTTTAATTTAAAATACCAATTGCTATAGTTCAGCGTGTCGTAACAATTGGTGTCTTATTAATTTACTTCCTTTATTACCAAATTTTGTTTTCAATTTTTATATCGCCGTTGGATTTTAAAAAAATAATCTGTGAGTTCTTCCATGAACGACGTCAAACTTGTGACCTTTTCCCCCACCCTATTGGCACATGTCGTCACAAAAAGTTAAACTCCCCCCCCCTTAGATAAAGACACATGTCAGTCTATACACTCATATCCCATATAGTCATTATTTTTTAAAATAGCGATTAAAATAGTATATGACATCAGTAATGTTGGTGACTTAGAATAGTCAATTACACGAGTCTATTGGGAAACAATTAATTTAACAATTGATAAATTTCTGTTTCAAAAAAATATATTTTAAAAAGTTAAAATTGTGACGTCACAGTTACAAGCATCCCTCTCGTCACACATCGTGACAAAGTTCTGATCCCTTCCCCCTCATGTGTGACGTCATTTATATAAGAAACTTAATTTGTACATTTTATAACATTTGTATACGTTACACGCTAGTAATGTTTCGCACTAGTCCAACAGCTACTATTTAACTGCCGTGGACGCTCACAGAAACCTGTTTTTTTTAAATAATTAAAGTATCAGAAATAAACAGGCCAGCTAAACAGTAGGTGAAACAATTTGTGACAACTAAGTTGAGGAACCGGTAAATCTAGAGTATATAGATCAGGTTCATGTTACATTCGTACGATTACTGCTCTAAAAAACTTAACAAACTCATTTTTTTAAATCAAAGTCCAACTTTTTACACATACATTTTACCATCAGCGATTTATTTTCTTCGTAGCGGACGATTTACCATTAACACAATTAGTTTTTAATAAGAATATTTAAAGATATAGTGAATTTACTTCCCATGTATTGTTTAGTATCGTCTGAATATTTTAAAATATCGGTCAAATCTCACTGGGCGATTCTAGCAGAAGTAAAAACCGTCGCCTGCCTGTAGTAACCGTCAAAGCCAATCCTTGCGATAGCAGGCGTCCGTTGGTTTGATTCTACCGTAGCCCGCGTCACGAACAAGGTCAGTGCGCAGGTACACAAGTGTGCCACCTTTGTGTGTCGCTTCAGTTGACGGCTAGTTTCGTTTTGACACTGGATTACTGCTGCTGTGTTTACAATCGTACTCTGTTGTGGATGTTATATTTTAGTTGATGAGTTAACTTCAGTGTTTTATAGAATTATGCCGTGGGGTTTGTTGTGTTAGTAGTCTATTTCAAGGAGGTAAAAAAGGTAGGGTCCAATGTGTAACAATAAATTCAGGCGAAACAAAGAAATCGTTTTGTTAAAAGATTATATTTTATAGCAGTTTTTTACGTTTTTAATTGAGGGATTATCATAAAAAAATGTTTCAATTATTTAAATTTATTGTTCAGTGGCTTTTACTATTTTAATTCTTTTAACAAGCTTTAAAAAAAAGATACCTGTTCTATAAATATTTAAATGATTTACCTTTAAAAGATAGTTACACAGTTTAAAATAAAATTTTAAAAAATTATAATTTTTTTATTCAAATTAGTATTTTACATATCTAGAAGTATAGTTTTAACCAATTTAACTGAAGTTTAGTCAATGTTCACTATAAAGCTAATAAAACGTAGATCTAGATCTCGATCTTGTTGTAGTCTAGTTTTGATGTGAAGTCTTATTGACTCGTATCGGCCCCATCACAAGTGAGTTTTCGTGTCTAGTCCATGGTTTTTCATATTTAGATTGCGTACACGTCTATGTACTAGACTTGTGTACCGTAATCTTTAGACCATTCTCAGAACGCTTTGGTTAAACCATTCCCCATTTAGATATCTAGATCTAGACCTACCCTAAAGTAAAGGCATACATCTGTGACGCACCGCCATGTGTGACGATATCAGCTTTTTCTGGTGTTCTGGGGGATACAGTTATTTAAGTACAGTATGTTGTACTGCGATGTTGGTATTCCTATAGGAACGAATCAATGTTTGCTTTCAACTTTTGTATTTCAATATGCATGAGATTTGTTTTTAAGTTTAGCTGCTTGTATATACCAAAACCAGTCAACTTTTCAATCGTTTAATCACTCCCATACATTCCAGCAGCTTTCCTTAATTATGAAATCGATTGCGTTCAGTCTACCTTTTGTTGAAACCTACCTAGTCATCTATGAATACTTTGTTTTTATTTCTATTCGATCAATATCGACTTCCTACAGTGTTGGGCCAGAGATATTAGTTAATAGGGTAAGGGCGAGTTACTCTGTTATAATGTTTATTAGTTTAAATTAGTGTAATGTTCATTACTTTTTAATGAGTGTACTAACTAATGTGGTGTGTCACCCATCAGTTACCAGTTGTTGTTTATGATGTCCCTACTGTCGTCTACCGTCGTCTACCGTAGTCTGGTGTTCATCAAGTTCTTATCTGGCTCCAGATGTCAGTCACGTCCACTCTATTCCAATCGTCTCCAGCCTTTGATTAACTGATGATAACCAAACGATCCTCTCTAGACCCTCTCTACCAGCTTAAAGTGTTGAGTGTTGATCCATTGATAACAGCGTGTATCACCAGTCTGTATCACCTCGATGTCTCACCACTTTGTCCTCGCCCACCAGACAATCGAAACAGTCTCCCAATCAATAGCCGTCACGTGACTACCCAGGTGTGCTCAGGTGTCACGTGCTTGTTTACTAACACGAGCGCGTGAGCTCGGTGTGCTACTCTTGGAGACTGTGTGGCAGAGAGTGTGTGGCTCTACTCACACAGATTGTGTGATACTCCCCACACACATTGTGTGGCTCAAAGAGATTGTGTGGCTTTACTCATAAAATCAAAACATATTATTTTTTTAATGTATGAAATTTGTATTTTAAAAAAAAAAACATTGGTTGCTCTTTTGTATTTACTTAAAGAATAAACAAAAATATTTTGTTTCTGTAGGTTTAACAATCACATCTTCGGTCGCTAAAAACATTTAAAATAAAATCGAGAGAATTATTAATTCGCATATTGGATCGCGTAGTCATGGGAGATGTAATTACTGCCAATGTGAGACAAATAGTTGCTTTATCAATGGGTCAAAATATGCTTGATATAATGGACAACAAAGGCAGACAACTGGACAGACTTTGACTTGAGAAACAGCCCTTAAATCTCAACGTTCGTGGATCAGCACTCATTTCTTTTATAACTAAAGTTCCACTTTAAGTGGTGGTGGCATTCGTGTCACTAATTTTGTGACAGTCGTGTCACTAATTTTGTGACAGTCGTGTCACTAATTTTGTGACAGTCGTGTTACTAATTTTGTGACAGTCGTGTTACTAATTTTGTGACAGTCGTGTCACGTGTCTGTGACATTCATGTCACTTGTCTATGACAGTCGCGTCACTAATTGTGTGTCTATGACAGTCGTGTCACAAACAGTTGACCACAACTACGTGCTTATAACCTACAGCTTATAGCGTGGATACCATTGATTAACCAATGCTAACTCGTGCCCTAACAGTATCGTCTGGGTGGCGGTACGTGCTGTATTAATTCTAGGGTACGGCTATTCGATCTCAAGCCTCAACACACACATCCCTGTAATTATGTTACAAGACAATAGACAAGGAGACGAAAACCTGACTAAAACATTGGTGTTAGCGTGAGAACTGGCACAGATGGTGACGGTACAGCTCTGTGTCCATGTACAGTTGCAACACACGGTGTATAGAACAGGGGACTGTAGAGCTTGACACACTGTGTATAGAACAGTGGACTGTAGAGCTTGACTAGTTCCCCCCCCCTCCTCCTCTTTGATGTAACACTGGCCACCCATTCAAGTTGACTGGTGTAGCACCTACCATTTCCGTTAAAAAGTACCAGCGGTTATTCCAACTCTTCTTTAACACACACTAACCCCCCTTGATGTGTCCACTAGTGACTAGTTTAGTCCATTCTACACTATGCCGGCCACTGGTCACTTCAGGTAGCTGTCATGGTCAACACACACATCTGATCTCCCCGCCTGTCCCCCACATCTCCCCCGCCCCTCTTCCTAACCCCCCGCCCCTCTTCGTAACCCCCCTCCCCCTCTCCCTCCCGCGTGTTTGATCTAGCCCTGGGGACCAGGGGAAGTAACTGACCGGGTCAAACCATGTCTTAAAATACGTTTTGGGTTATTTGTGATATATGGCTTTGTGTTATTAGCGTGTGATTTAAGGGTTAAGGTTATGTACGTGTGATATGGGTTAGGGGTATACCGGCGTGATATATGTTTGAGGGTTATATACGTGTGATAAGTGAATTAGGGTTAAAACGGCGTGATATGATTTATTTACTAGGGTTAGAGAGGTTATACAGGCAGCAAGTACATATTAACATGTAGGTCGTCTTTAGAACACGATAAAAGATACATAACATTGTGTTTATTCCGTGACGTTTTGCATTAATTTCAACGTCTTGTTTGATACACCATGACTATTTACTTACTACACCCATGCCTCTACTCACTACTGTACTACATCTACTAGTAAACACACACCTACAATCACTTATGTTTATGCACGATCTTTTCCGTTTTCTCGATGACCTTGACTTTATGTGACATCTCCCAGAGGCGTAGCGACCCTTCCCGGCGCCCGGGGACATACTTTCAATTTGGCGCCCCCCTCGGGAGCAAATTTTCGATTTGCACCCCCCCCTCGAACTTTTCATTTGCACCCCCCCCCCCTCGAACTTTCGATTTGCACCCCCCCCCCTCGAACTTTTCATTTGCACCCCCCCCCCCCCCTCAAACTTTCGATTTGCACCCCCCCCTCGAACTTTTCATTTGCACCCCCCCTCAAACTTTCAATTTGGCGCCCCCCCTAAGGTCGGCGCCCGGGGACATATGTCCCCCCCCCGCCCCCCCCTCGCTACGCCTCTGACATCTCCTAACCCCCATCAGTATTTACCTATCACCAGAACCTATTTTACTACCTGCGCCGTTTCCTACCCTATATTTCAATCATCTACATCTCGATATATATCTCACCATCGTCCCACATCCCATTATACCCCATTCCACCCCATACCCACCTATATTGTATCCCCTATCTCTCGCCATCACCATAAAAAGAGAATTAGTTCCGGTACCCAGCAAGCCAGTCTTGTTCTGAATGGTTTATTTCTCTTGTCTTTTTTGCGATCGCCGTTTGTTGCTGGTGGAAAAAAAACAATCCACACTAATGACGCGGATGTCCTAGAGGTCGAGAATCTTCACTAAGTAATTTTACTGATATCAAATAAGACCAATGTTACTGGTATCAAATAAGACACAATGTTACTGATATCACATACGACACAATTTTACTGATATCACACAAGACACACAAGGAATGGACGGACACTGCTTTGAGTTTTGTTGTTAGATATTAAGAAAGATACGCTATGGTTCAGTCGGTCATCTATAAATTATGTCAAACAAAGGAGAATGAAAGAGAAATATCACCAAACTCTATCGAGAAACGACCAAAAGACAGACCTAGACAGATAGATGGATGATGTGGAGACAGATCTGAGACAGGAAGAAGACAGCAGACGTCTACATGAGCAAGAAACTTGTGATGTAGACCTGAGCCCTCCACGAGATTCTACTAGAAAGCATGGATGGAAGGATAGATGCAGGCTTAAAGAGACAGTTCTATTGTTAAAGGATGAGGGCATTGAATTTTGTTTCGGTATTAGAATCATGTTAATCACTAATTGGTTTTCAAATTACGTCCCTTCTGTAATGCGCTAAGTGAAATAATAAAAGCTGTTTATTACAAACTTTTATTTAACTCACTTCCTCGTCAGTCTGTCGTCAGTCTGTCTAGATCGAAACGCAGGAGCGAAATTGCAGGCACTTCTACTTGACAAATACGGTTCGTAATTGGTACGTGGGTCAAGACATGAAGACAATGCATCGTGAAATTAAATTTGACTCAATTGGATGACCTAATTGATTTTTTTATGAATTGATTAAAAATTAAAATAAACTATAGACTACTATTTAAATAACTATTTTAAAAAGCGTGGGTCTCTTCCTAAACATTAGTAAAGGTATCCTATAGATACTTAAGTGATCCACGTTTTTCTTTATAGTTATTTAAATAGTAGTCTATAATTTATTTTCTACTTTTTAGTGCATTAGTACATAAAAGCTTGTTATTAAAACGTTTTTTTTTTAATGAAATTTTTAGGTTTAATGTATATGATGGTCTTTGAATATATAATCATTTCGTAAGAGAGCAGCAT